CAGATTGTACCAGGAACTGGCCCACACCTGCTTCAGAAGGCCCAGGACCTGATGCTCACGACACATCGCTCATGTTGGCTGTTGGCTGGAATCCACCTGCACAGGAGAAGGGTCTGTAAGGCACTACCAGTCTCCCCAAGTGACCCTAGCATGATACATTTCCATACTGCCTAGCCCACAACAGTACAGCATCACTGCAGTACCAGATCAACTAAATCTTAACAATCACTATATAAACTCTTTTTTTCCTACATATTTAATGACAGAAAACTGTTAACACAGTAGGTTATGAAACACTTTCTTACAAGTTCTAACTTCTTCCCCCCCCCTTCTATTTTATTATTTTTCAAACAACTGAACCCAAGGCCAGCAGTCCCAGGCGGTGGCACGGCCAAGGAGAGGTTAACGAATCTGAGCTCGTGTGCTGCAATGCATCTGCCAAGCAGCTGAGGGCAGAGAGCTGAACAGATCAATTATGACATTTCATTTACATCAAAGTGATGAGATTTCTAGATAACACTGTTTACCATTTGTGCACATGGCTTAACAAGAACCTTTAAGTCCTTCCTCCAGGTTCCTTTGCCTCTCAGGAGGCCAGGCAAGCACCTGTTCCCCAGCCACACTCCCTCGCTTGACCCCAGAGCTTATTCTCACCACCAAGTCTGTTACCCACAGAAACTACATTAAGAAGCTGTCTCATTACTTCTAATTTTAATTATTTCAATTTTTTTTATTTTTTTTTTTTTAAACACAAGCAGCTACTAAGCTATTTTACCAGTTTGTACCAGAAGACTGGTAATCAGTAATGTTTCTGTGGTGTGCTGGAAAGGATTCACTCTCCCACTCCTCCACACCCTCCAACAAAGAGCTCTCCTCTGGAAACGGAACAGAGAGGTCATGTTGCTCATTCTGCTTTCCTTGAATTTCTGTGATTTTACATCGAATGCAGTCAGTGCCTCGTAACGCCTGCTGATTCCAACAGTCAGCCACAAAAGCTACCCTTGGATTCAAGAAACCTCTCATTTACAAGATGCTTTCTCACTACTACTAGGAGCTCAGCAGAGAACCATAAAGTACCTTTTGCACCTGCCAGAAGCTCTTGTGTCTGTGGCAGTAATTGTAAGCCAGCAGGGATGCGCCGTAATGTAAAGAGTAGCCTTGGCTGTGCAGTGATGCCAACAGGAATAAAACCAGCAGAAGCAAACGCCTGTTACTGAAGTGATGCCATAGGCCTCTCAGTATCAATATACAGGGAAGAGATCTGTTGCATAAGAAAGGGTTATTTCTAGACAGTCAACTTATCAGAAAAAATCTTACATAATACAGAGTTTGTTCCAAAACACACTGAAACCAGCACAGTCGTTCTTGCTGACTTGAAATTTGACCGGCTTCAAATCAAATCCCTCTGAAAAGTCTCTGCTTTGCCAGGAACAAACTTTTGTTTGAGAAGATGAAAATCACCAAACTGCACTGTGCTTTGTGTTCCCTT